ACATGTAGAGAGCTTGCACAGATCTTCAGCCAATGGGGTTTTAGAGGTGAAAGGAGAAGTGGATACATGGCCCCATCCCTAACCCAGAAGCTATCTCCAACTGATAACCCCTTGGAAATGAAAAAAAAAATAGTTTTCTCCAAAGGAGTTTCATAGGGAAAACAAACCCTTAAAGGTAGCCTCCCATGCTCAAATCAAAATGGACTCAGTGGCATCCTTGGCGGTTCTGTGTCTCATACTATAATGCCAGGGTATTTATTTATTCAATCATTTATTTGCCTTGTAGTTGCTTTGGATGGACACTATTGCTCCTAGTTCTGTGTTTTTATGGGATTCCTGTGTGTAACATGTGTGTTTCTTTATCTATATGCTTCTTGTGCCTTTTCTTTGGCCCTTTTTCCTCTATTCATTTGTTTTGTCCTATTCTGACTTGTTTGTTTTTGTTTTATATTACTTTCTTTTATTATTATTCCTTAGATGCTTATTTGTTTACTAATGAGAGAAATAAAGAGTGTGGATCTGCATAGGAGAGGAGGTGAGGAGGAGGTTGTGTGGGAGAAACTGCAAAAAGAATACATTAAATGAAAAAAATCTATTTTCAATTAGCAAATAATAAAATCTGACCAATAGTGAGTGCTTCCCATGATATCTGCATAGCAGCCATCACTTTTCTCATTGTGTTTCTGTATCTGTGAAGTGGGGATTCTGCTAACTTTCCTGACTACAAAGCAGCATTTTAGAGAGTATAAATGACAATGTACTTTGAAACTGTCTGCTGGTCCTCATAGTTATAATTACACACTGTAGGTTACGCAGGCTGAGGAGTTTTATCAGAGACTTCAATTCAGATGAAACCTAGATCTTAAATAACTTACAGAAAAAGATTTCAGGATGGGCTGTTTGGAGCAGAGTTTGAATTTAAGAAAAAAACCTTTCAGGTAGTGAGAATGGCTGAGTCTGCTCTAGTTTCGCTATGTTATTCCAACTTTCAGAGTGTTTAGCCTTGAGTGATGTTATTTTATACAGCACAGCCTTGACTGAAGTTACTCTGTTTTGAGAAAAAATACCAAGAAAGAATGACTACACATCATGTTTATATCAGTAAATAATCACTGCTTGCCAGCATGCCAGGAGACACAAACTTTGTATTTACTTGTACCAATAAATAAGGACTCTTGTGATTATACTATATCATAGCAAAAACACCAGACACAGAAGCTTATCAACCACAGTAGATGGAATCCCCTTACCTTATACAATAAAACAAGGAACACCCCAAGGTTGATATGTGGCAAGATGCTGACTAATTACCACTCAGTTCATGCCCCAAAAAAATCAAACAGGGTTTGTATGTGTGTCTGGTGCCTTGTGGATCAGTTTCCAGAGAGAATATAGGTTTGTAAGGCTAGGTAATATGTAAAAGGATCAGAGGCCTTAAGAAGTCACTGCACACGAAACTATGCAACTACGCAAGTGAAAGCTGAGTTTCATTGGAACCGCAGGAAGAAGGCTGTGTCAGGACTGAGAAAAACTGTAGAAATATAATGGAGGTCGCCCAGGGGTTATAGGACTGGGGCTTCCCAAGACCATTGGACATCAGATGATTCTATGTCTCTCAAGTGTCAGATGCGGAGCTGCAGCATTTGGTGTTTTCCTTTTTGGGTTTCAGTCTTGTTTTGGTCTTGTCTTCTCTCATTATTTTCCCTTCCTAACTTTTGGACCTGGAATGTTTATTGTGTGCCATTGTATATTGGAAGATGCATCAAACAATTTCAAAAAAAAGTGGTAGAAAATATGTTCTGGGGGAGTAATTTTATAATCAAAAATTTCCCCCTTTTTATATTTAAAATCATATCAAGTCTTTTCTACTATTGCTGTGGAACAATCTTTTTATACACTGTTAACATTTGTTACTCTCATTGGTTTAATAAAGAACTGACTGATTAGTACCTAGACAGGAAAAGGTTAGGTGGGACTTGGGGACAAAAAGAGTGTAGGGAAGAAAGAGGATGGGTCACCAATGAGTTGTGGAGAGAAACATGATGATCATGCTGTTCTGAAAAAAGGTACTGCTACATGGTAGAGCGTAGCTAAGAATCATGGGTTAATTTAAGTTAAGATGCTGGAGGCTTCTGGATATGGAAAGTGTCCTATGTATTATGAATTGAATATGAGGCTTTAGAGTCCAAGGTTGTCAATTTAATAAGGGATGTGTGTTGTCTTATCTTTCCACCCCAATGAGATTTAGAGTCACCTTAAATACAAACTTTTGTACATGTTTAAGAGACCATTTCCAAAGAGATATACCTGAGGTGGGAAAGCCCACCCTGAATGTGGGTTGAACTGTTCCATGAGCCGTGGTCATGGGCTAAATATAAAGGAGAAGGCAGTTGGAACACTAGCATACGTCTATCTGCTTTTTATCTGAATGCATTATGACCAACCAACTCACACACTTTTGATGAAGGACTGTGAATGCAAACTGTGAACTAAATGCACCCTTTCTTCCTTACGTTTCTTTATTTGGGTACTCTGTCATAGTATTGATAAAAACTCACTAATATACAGGGCAAAGCATTTGCCCATGGAAATAGTGGGACCAAGCTGCTCTAGGTAGGCAAGACAACAGTAGTCACTCTAACTAAAGTGGTCTTGATGGGTTTCCCACTTATGGTGGTATGGCAGGGGACAGGAAATATTCTGAACAAAGCTGTTAGGAAGATGGTATCCAGATGTGGCACAGAACAACAGTCTACCAGCTCTTTTAAGACAGTTAGTTCTTACTCTAGAAAGTGAGAACGGGAATTAAAAAGACTAAAAACAAATATTTGGCAATTTTAGAGGATGCAGAGCTGCAAAGACAAAATCCATGCACTCCATGAAACTCTACAGAGAAGAAACAAAATCAGCCTACATCAGGGCTTTTTAATGCCCTTTGTTGACATTACCTTCTGATTAAGAAAAAAGTAAAAATTTATTTTTTGTTGGTTGGTATTTCTGAAAATTTATTAAAACCATCTTTATGTTTTTGCTATGTCTTCAGATACTCTATGACTCAGAAATATTATAACTAAATACATTTATTTTAACTGTACTGATGGAGGTGGGTCTTGTATCTTATCTGTTGATTTCATTGGTTAATAATAAAGAAACTGCCTCAGCCCTCATAGGACAGAAAATTAGGTAGGCGGAGTAGACAGAGGAAAATGCTGGGAAAAAGAAGCTGAGTGAGTGAGTCGCCATGATGCTCCCACTCCAGACAGACGCAGGTTAAGATCCTCTCTGGTAAGCCAGCTCATGGGCTACACAGAATATTAGAAATGGGTTAGAACAATATGTAAGAGCTAGCCAATAAGAAACTGGACCTAGCCAGGCCAGGCAGTGTTTGAAAGAATACAGTTTCCGTGTAATTATTTCTGGGTATAAACTAGCCATGCGGGCGGCCGGGTGCCGGGGACGCAGCCCTGCCGCTCCTATTTCAACACTGTACAGTTATTTATATGATACTATGTAGCAGACACTCACATTGGCATTTTGTGTACATTGTCAGTTATTCTTCATGACAACCCATAGATTCCTCTATCATCTATACTTCAAAGATTGGAAGAATTAATCTCTGAAAAGTTGGGCAACATGTCACAGTTACATGTCAGATTAAAGATCTAAAAAGAAATGAAATATTGCAGTAACGGAAGAAAATATAAAACAAATTAGAAAAGATGGGCCTGTGAAAACTTTAAACAATATTTAAATATCAGAAGCAAAATTTTGAAAAAAGATAAAATTTATTACATCAAAATTAGAGACTTCAAGCCAGGCAATAGTGGTGCACTCCTTAAATCCCAATGATTGAGAGGCAGAGGCAAGTGGATCTCTATGAGTTCGAGGCCAGCGAACTCATATTCTACTGAACATGTTTAAGGACAGCAAAGGCTACCTAAAGAAACCCTGTCTTGAAAACCCAAACTAACCAACAAGTCAACCAAACAGAAAACACCCTCTTCCAAAACCCAAAAATCAACCAATAAAACAAAACCCAAAAAATTAGGGATTTCTATTTAAAAAGGTATAAGATCAATGAAGTAATAAGTTGATAGAAGTCATTTGTGATGAATAAAGCATTACAAAACAAAAGTCCATCTTTTTTCTATCATGAGATAAGAGTAGTAAATGGAGTTATCAAACCAATTAAGTTCTCCTAGGTGAAGCAGGTGGCAGCCGCTGAAAATGGAACCACTAGTTAAACTGAGTTCCATGGTCAAGCATGGTAAAATTATTCCAGAGTGCTCACACTCTGTACATATTTGTCATGCTGTTAACCAGACAATGCACTAGGAATTATTTTTCTAAACTAGATATATAGAACCAACAGGATAACATCTCTGAGGTTAACATACACTACATATATTATATAAATAATATTATGTTATATTAAATACTAAGAGGCCACTTCCCTTAAGGAGAAGACTATAAATAGGCAAGGTGAATGTCCTTGCCTATTGACTTGCCATAGTCTTTGGTTTTAACAAATATAAATCTCTCTCTAATGACTTTACTACCCAAATGATAAAGCAGTGCCTCAGTAGATTTTAAATTTAAGGGGTTTCAAGAGTTCAGGCCCTGCAGTGGGAATACAGCAGAAATGGCATCTGTGATCTGCCTTTGACTTCTAGGTTCAGAGTACACACAATCATAGACTTAACTGGTTCCACAATCATTGTAGGGTTCACTTTATTTGACAGTCCTAATGACCACAAATGCTACCTCTTATTGTATCTAAGCCCTTCCCTGAAACCTATTGACCTGGTCTTTGGAATGTCACAATTTGTTCATACATCTCCTCTCTGACAGGAAGAAGATAATGGCAAACGTTAAAGAGTTGACTTCTATCTCAGCTACCTGCAAGGTCCCGCTGGTCTACAAGACAATGAGTATCCATGTTAGAGAGTCACTATGTTTTCACTCTCTTCTGGATCTTGGTTGGCATCCAGGGATCCGAATTAGATACCAGCAGAGAGCTCATTCTCCCCTGTGGTTGGAGATACGGAATTGGCACTCTGAGTTCGGTCCACAGAGAGGAAGGGCAGCCATTTTGCCAGGGAAATAGCAGTACGCCTCTGAAACAGCTGCCGGAGGTACTTCCGGAACCGCTTACCCACAAAGACATAAATGAATGGGTTGACACAGCAGTGGGTGTAGGCAATAGCCTCAGTTACCATCAAGGCTAGGTCCAACTGTTGGTTTCTCTCACACTCACTGGTGAATAGGAAGTCTTCAAAAGCAGAAGCAAATGCAGCCAGATAGTAGGGGGTCCAGAGGAGGAAGAAGAGAAGTGTGATAACAAAAATCAGGCGCATGGCTTTGGCCTTCTTCTTATTGGGTCTTCTATGCAGAACATTGATGATCCTTGTGTAGCAGATAATCATGGCCAAGAGAGGTAAAATTAGTCCAAGGAGGTTCATTGTTACAGCCTGAAACCTCAAAAAATATTTTAGGCTTTCCTTGGGCAAATCTGCTCTGCAGGTATTGTAAGTGAACTCCAACTGGGCCTTGAAAAAACACAGACAAGGAATGGAAGCCAAAATGGCTAGGACCCAGGTGATGACGCTGGTAATGATGCCAAAAGTGACGGTTCGGGCCCGCAGGGCAAACACAGCATGGACAATGGCTAAATACCTATCAATTGTAAGCAGGGTGATGAAAAACATGTCACTGTACAAGCCCAGGTAATAAAATGCAGAGAGGAACTTACACATGGCATCACCAAAAATCCAGTCTCCTTTTATTATATAGTCAATCCAGAAAGGTAATGCGAAGAGAAAGACTAGATCAGAGATAGCCAGGTTGAATAGGTAGATGCTGGTCATACTTCGAAGCCTCCTGTTCTGTATCAGCACCAGAACCACTAGGGCATTGCCTATCACACCAATGATGAACACCAGGGAGTACAGGGGGGTCAGCACTGTGATTCCAAATGCCCGCACGTCCATGCTCACACATACGAGTCCAGTAAAGAAGTCATTCTTGGTGTCTGTGTTGTAGAAGGGCTCTGTAGTAGCTGAAGTCTCCATTGTGAACTCTTCTGCAGGTCAGGGAAAATGGCCTCTATGTTTGCTTTGCTCTCAGATGCTTAGGTCTCTGGAAAACAAGCACAAGGAAATGGTTACATTTTTCAACCGAGTGAACTGTTTATTAATACCTAGAGTCTATCAAAACCTGAAGTTAAAATGGTGAAAAGGGGTACCCACATCCTTTCTGCCCACATTAACCTGGTAATCTAAGAGGGTCACAGAACAAACAAATAAGTGTGTAAATAATTTACTCAATGATTTCAGCTGTATGTAGGAAGAACCCAAAGGGGAACATTTTCAAATGCTGTGCAAACTAAGGATTCCTAAGTGACCCCCTGGCCACGGGCTTGAATACCAGACTTAGTATTCAAAACTTCTTGAGGCTCTAATTTATTCTCATTTTAGAGGTGATGACTCAGAGGTGCAGAGTTTAGAACTGTGCCACAGGACAGAGAATGGTGAGAATGAGAGCTGGGCTGAAACCCAAGGTGTTCAGATGCAGCCCTGCAACTGTTGGAGTTTCCTGCCTCTAATTAAAGTGCTGGCTGTGCTCCTGGGGTCTCTACAAAGGTTCTAGGAGAAGGGACAGTCTTGCAAAAAAGAGAGAAACCTAACAAGTTCATGGATTTTGTCCTATAAAGGTACTCAGTGAAGGGGGTGATGGCCTTGTCAGAACTTAGAAAGGTTTTCCTTCCCTTGTTTTTTTTCCCTTCCTTCTGTCATTTCTTGCTTCCTTCCTCCTTCCTGCCATTATTGTTGCCAAAAATCTGGGGTTACAACTGACATTTGGTAGACAGGGCCATGAACATTGTGTAATGAAGAAATGCTCTCAATGTAAATCAAAACAACTTTGAGATACCATCTTACACCTGTCAGAATGGCTAAAACTGAAAACACCAATGATAGCCTTTGTTGGAGAGGATATGGAATAAGAGGAACACTCATCCATTGCTGGTGGGAATGCAAACTTGTGCAACCACTTTGAAAATCAGTGTGGCAGTTTCTCAGGAAATTCAGGATCAACCTACCTCAAGATCCAGCAATACCACTCTTGGGAATATACCCAAGAGATGCCCAATCATACTACAAAGCATTTGTTCAACTATGTTCATAGCAGCATTATTTGTAATAGCAAGAACCTGGAAACAACCTAGATGCCCCTCAATGGAAGAATGGATAAAGAAAGTGTTATATATACATTAGAGTACTACTTAAAAAAAAAAAACAATGACATCTTGAATTTTGCAGGCAAATGGATGGAAATAGAAAACACTATCCTGAGTGAGATAACCCATACCCCAAAAGATGAATATGGTATGTACTCACTCATTTGTGGACTCTAGCCATAAACCAAGGTCATTAAGCCTATAGTTCACAAGCCCAGAGAAGCCAAATAACAAGGTGAACCCAAAGAAAAACATATATAGATCCTCCTGGAAATTGGAAGTAAACAAGATTGCAGGACAAAAGTTGTGAGCATGGGGTGGGAGCAGGGGTGAGAGTAAGGTTGGAGGAAAGGGGAGAGGGGGAGAGGGAAGGGAGAAAGGAAGGGTTGGCAACAGCTTGGGGGAGTGGGAGGGTGGAGATGGAGGAAGGGCATATATAGGAGCAGGGAAGAAGATACCTACATTAAGAGATCCATTTTAGGGTTGGCAAGAGACTTGGCTCTAGAGGGGATCCCAGGTGTCTACGGGGATGTCCCCAGCTAGGTCCGTGGACAGCAGAGGAGAGGGTACCTGAACGGTCCTTGCCCCACTATCATGCTGATGTCTCGAATACCACCATAGAATATTTGTCCAGCGATGGATGGAGACAGAGACAGAGACCCTCATCAGAGGAATGGACTGAGCTCCCAAGGTCCAGTTGAAAGGCAGGAGGGAGAAGACAAGCAAAGAAGTCAGGACTGTGAGGGGTTGGTCCACCAACTGAGACAGTGTGCTTGTTCTAATGGGAGCTCACCAAATCCTGCTGGACCAGCTGAAGAAGCATGTGATCAAACAGACTCTCTGATTGTGGCTGACAATGGGGGCTGACTGAGAAGCCATTGATAAAGGCACTGGGACTTGTTTTTACAGCATGTTCTGGCTTTTTGGGACTTTAATCTATATGGATGCACAGCTCCCTAAGGCCTGGATGTAGGGGGGAGGGCCTTGGACTTCCCACAGGGCAGGGTTCCCTGCCCTCTCTCAAGCAGGGTGGGAAAGGGAGGAGGGGGCATGAGGGAGTGGGAGGGGATTGGGAGGAGGGAAGGAAGTGTGAATAATTGAATGGAAAATAAAAAAAGAAAAAGAAATCCTTCCTCTCCGATACTATTATAGCTGAGACAGTGAATTCTTAGTAGGACAACGAATCACTTTATAGGTTGATACTCAAGGTAACAGGTTGTTTGGCTTAGAATGATCCATATCACATGACCTTTTATGGTATACCTAGCTTTACAGTTAACTCAGTAGCCCTCTGTGAGCACCATGAGAAGGCTAGAAGGAAGATATGACCTGGAGACAGAAATGAAAAATGAACTCAGGTAGGAAGATATGCCTGGATCCAAATGGTGAGACCTCATAGGCGTTAGATGGAAGATGGGATTCTGATGAAATGAGCTCTGAGTTATTTATTACCATTATTGTTATACCAGAATTGCCTGGGTGCTATAGGATATCCTAGAGCAGCCAGTAGCCCTTAAGTTACCCGCCCACTGGGGCGTGACCTCTTATACTATTTATGCCAATATAAAGCCTGTGTCTGGCCTCTTTTCCTGCTGCGGGATTCAGTTGCTATTCTCTGTTCCAGCAGAGGATTCTGATTTGTGAGTCTACCACTAAATAAATAACAATCTATTATTCTCAATTCTGAGCTAGTGTGGAATTTTTTTTAAGCATCCTTCTTCAGCCTTGAGATAAACAAAAGACCCAATAGATAGCTTGCCACTCTAGAACTTCTTCCACATCATGTATGAGTGTATACCTTCTGAATTCTTTCCCGTCAGTTTTTAGAAGAATCCTCCATAACAGGGAGTATGGGCTTTGTTGTAACATAATTGTTGTGTGACCTTGGATGAATTAATCAGTTTCTTTGAGTTTAAATTCCTAATTTGGAATGGGGGAGTTTAATGATGCTATGCAACCATGGGGAAAATGTCCCTTCATCCCCAGACAGTGAATATCAGGGACCTGGCTGTCAAGCAGTGGTCTTGCTCTAAAGTATGTCATTACCAGACATTCTGACCACTTATGTCTGTATTCCTTCTCTCCCTAGGTTTCTGCATGGTAACACAGAAAGTGATTTTTCTAGATTGTTAATGAAAGTTCTTCCATGTGTATCATGCTACAAAATCTAGAAAGCTGGTCTCACAGAATTAGAAAGCCAAGTTGGGGTAGTGGAGCTTGAGGAGAGTTTGGGAGAAAGGTGGAGAGAGGACAGACAGTTAACAGGACAGGGCTGAAGCCAGACAGCGGGACTACTCTCATGCTCTGTAGCACAGTCAGGTGACTATGGTTGATAACGCATACTTGAATATTTCAAAATAGCTAAAGAAGATTGTCGAGGTATTCAGGTATTCAGCAACATTCCATTAGTCTGGCTGACCATTATACACTGTGCATGTATTGAATTGTCCCCTGCATCCTTTAAAAAACAGAAGTGGCAAGTGTGAAATAACCAAAAATAATTGGAAAATAAGTGAAAATTTCAGTATGTTGTTACTGGCCAGAGTTCTAGATTTGACTCAAATACCCATCAGTAAAGCATGCTGCACCATCTCCATCAGTCCTGTGATCTCCCTGGGCATCTATTTCTCTCCCTTCTAGGGTCCTTAGTGAATGTTTACTGACTACAAAATCCACACCTGCACAGTGGTCTTTGGAAATTAAGGCACATGGCAGGAAGGGAGAAACTCTTCTGCTGAAGTGTCAAGAGGAGCCCTTCATTTCCTATCAGTTCTGTCCCTGTGGTCCATCCTTCATGTCTTTACTGCAAGCCCTCACAGGGAAAACTGGGCTTTGGCAGTCAAGCGATAACTGAGGCAGAGATTTCTGTTTTCTGCTATTCCTGTTGGTGCTGAAGAAGAAATACACTCAGCTTGACAAACAGGCCTTCTAGCTCGGCTGGCAGCTTTATAGCAGCGTCAACCAAAGTTGGGGAACAGTATCATCTGAGGCAAGGTGGTCCTCAGGAGCCCAAACCCTTGGGAACTCTAGCCAAGGTAAAGGTAGGTTGAGTTCAGCTCTGTCAGGTCCATGTTCAGCAGCCATCTGCCTACTGAGGGACCCCAGCTTTACCTGCTCTCCCTAAGTTGTCAGGTTGCAACAATTCCAGGGCACACTTCTGCTAAAGAGATATGGCCCTGCTATGTTTATAGAAGCCAAAGGCCCATGTTGTCATTGACTCTCCCAGGCCTGTGAATATTTGCTTGTAGAAATCTTCCCCAGGGCCCCTTCCCAGTGCTCATGTATATCGCTAGAGCCTGGAATCTTCTAGTAGTAGTTTCTTGTAGCTTGCTCATTTGTGAAGTGCAGACCCAGGGTGATGCCAGATGCTTGTTGTGGCTCATAAGTGTCAGTTGTGTGCATATGTTCCATCTCCATACAACATTGGGGAAACTTGTAACTGGCCACCATAGAAATCACCAAACATTGATAACCAGGGCTTTCCATTTCAAGTTGAGGCAAGTTTCATGGGATTCCTAGCAAGTCACTACCCAGGTGTTCTTTATTCAATAACCCATAACTTTCATTCATCCTAATGTGGAAACTAATGAAACAATAAATGTTGTCTATGAAAACTTCCATTTCTTTCTTTGAAAAATGTAGCACCCCCTCCAAAGGCTTCCAAGGCATGCCTATATTTTTGTATAACAACTATACCTTCTATGAGCCTTTGACCCAGAGCCTCATGCACTGTTTCTCCAGAGTATCCAGACAGTGTCAGGAAGACTTTGCCCATTGGATTTTAGCTTGGGGGTAGTGTCATTTCTTTCCCCAACCCACATCCAGTATCATCCATCTCATTTCAAGAGGGTGGAACAAAGCCCATCCTGCATGTATATATTCACACGCACAGTCCTTAGTTTTGCCATGACATATGTATATAGTGGAGATCTGTCTATTAGATGAGAGAGAAACATGTAAAGAGCAATGTCTACTTGTCTGTTTTCTTTGTTAGATAGGTAATTGTAGAGCTTAGGCTGTGCCTTGCCATAAATTAATCTGAAGGACTAGAGTCTAGAGAGACCCTTGACAGGCAAACAGGTAAGGAAAGGACTCAAAGATAAATAATAAATATGGTGAATTTCTGGCTTCTTCCTCACCCTTCTGATCTGAGACAAATGCTAGCAAGGATTATTTTTTCTGGCTGACTGGTACACACTGGTCAGATTTGATAAAGCCGTTCATGAACAACCTATTAGTTCCCCTGTTTTGCTTAAGTTGACTAATCCAACATGGGTGGCCATCCTAAGCCACCCAAAATGCTTGTAACCCCCATTCCTCCAGTGGGAAAACAGATTTTTTTTGGCTCCAGATCGTCTTTTCACTTTTTGAGATGTCCTCCTTTCTGCTCTGTTGCGTGTAGGGTTCTCAACTTAACTGTTAGTGGATGCTGAATCAATCCATTTAGGATTTTGTTACATGGTGGCCTTAGGCTAGTATGAGTCTCCTAAGGTAAGTCTTACTTGTCACTATCACTTCTGCATTTTAATACCAGAGAAACTCACATAGCCAATCCACACTCAAAGAAGAGCCATAGAATTACTATGTAAAAGGCTGTACAAGAATGAGAGGATTCAAGACCATTGTTTATTTTTTATCCCAATGATCAAGTTTATTTTAGGTCCCTAGTCAAGGAATTCCTTGAACTCAATTATCCTCATGATCAGCTCCTGGATTTTTCTATTTCCAATATCTGCAGCATTTTACAATCTCCATTGCTGACATCCTAGCCCCTGACCACTCCCTTCACTGTCCAGGGACCTGAGTGCCACTGATGCTCAAGATTTTTCAGCCTTCCCTTGTCTTTCTAACCCATCATTCTAAAACCCACGAGCAGACAATAAGACCAATGTCCCACATACATTTTCAACTTCTTTACCTTTTTATGATCTTGTCATGTTCAGTTGGCAAAATCTCAGACTTAATTAGATCCAACTTTCTGCACCAATGGAATTTGATATTACTGGGAAAACAATCACACAACCACAAGGACTGGTGTCACTCTATGGATGAATATATTAAAAGGCTCTATTAAAAAGTATATTTAACATCTGTCAGCTGTGTTTCTATCCACAGGTCAATATTTAGATTCTGTCTTTTTTTAAAAATTCCTCAACATCCTCTCTGACAGCCTTGCTTTCTATTTCACTGAGGAAATAGAATCTAAAGTTTCAGCTTCTCTATTTGTTCCTCTTTATTGTATCCTTCCTTCAGTCCTGTTTCATAGATAAATTCTAATTTATCTAACTCACTCTAATTTTGGGCAGGATCCCAGCCTATTTCACCTATTCATGACCACAACCTAACAGTTTTTTGTCTTGTTAGTTTTTCACAATGCCCTAAAATGTATTATTTCTCTGAAAACACACACACACACACAACACACACACACACTTCTGTATTAAGCAAGAAAGCAAACAAGCATCAAAGAAAGAAATTCTTGATGCTACTTCCATCTCCGGGTACTCCGCTCCTTCCCTCTTCGTTACAATAGTTACTTGAAAGGATTGTCTTTAATTTTGTTCATTCCCTTTCTTTCTGGAACTGAGTTTCTGCTACTGGTTCCTGTTTAATGTCTTACCTTGAGGCCTTGTATGCTCCAGGCACAGTCCTTGAGCCTACGTTCTTTTACTTCTTTTATTTCTATGTCATTGTCTCAGTAAGGTCGTCTTAGACCATCTCACTTAAAGTAGAATTTGTGGTCCTTTCCTTGCTTTATTTATCACCACCTAACATACAAAAAATATAATTTAGTTACTTGCTTACTGTTGTTCAATAAGTTACATTCTTACTGTGAGAAGCTGGAATGGTCTCTTGTGTTCATAGCTATAACTCAGATGATATGTGTTTAATAAACACATTTAAATGATTGAAAATCCCAAGTTGGAGGTTTGGCTACACGGTGACTGATTAACTGAGCAGCTGTGCAGCTCCTCCTGAGACTCATATTTGCCCTATAGAGTCTTTCTCCCTTGTCCTGCTCAGACCAGCTTTATTTGGGGTAACCGTATGACTGCTAGTGTCATTCATACCCAGATGTGATGAAACTAATCAGAGAAAGGGTTTCTATTATTAGTGGGTAGAGGTGAGGAATCATGGACAGACACTGCAAAAACAGTCACTTTGAAGGGAATTTCCTAGGATGTAAGTAAGACAGAAGTATATGCGTGCATGCTCACAGGAAGAATCCATTAGAACAGCAGTTCTCAATCTGTGGGTCATGACTCCTTTGAGGGTCGAATGATCATTTTGCATATTAGATATCTTGCATATCAGATATTTACATCACAACAGTCGCAAAATTACAGTTATGAAGTAGCAACAAAAGTGATTTTATGCTTGGGGATCACTACATCACGAGGAGCTGTATTAAAGGGTTGCAGCATTAGGAAGGTTGAGAACCACTGCATTTGAGCATTTTAAAGAATAGCAAGATAAAAAAACAGACTGTGGTCTTGAGTGGATGAAATAGTCTGGGGACCTGCACGAAATGAAAGAAGGAAATTAGATTGGAATAAGAGGGCTAGGAAGAACCTGGGAATTTGCCATGTTTGTTATCTCTCTGTAAGTCTTTTCCTTAGTGTTTACCTGTCAGTGATTTTTCTGGCTTTTAGCCCCTCAGAATAACTTAGGCCAGGGTGTAGCCTGAGCTCTACAATTGCTACCTAACAAAGAAAATAGGCTAGTAAGCATTGCTCATTACAGGTTTCTCTCTCATCTAGTAGACCCCCCTCCAATGTAGACATATGTTAAGCTGCATCTGCCCTGGTCATGCCCACTGCATGGCAGTGTGAAGTATGAGACAATTCCTCCTTTCAATCCTTCAGTCACAGCAAGATGCACAAATCAGACACAGGGGGGCAGAATTTGAGAGCTTATGAATACAGGAAGAACTGGCTTCCTGCTTCCATCCTTTCTATGTCCTACATGTTTTGTGTAGATACCTACTTCTAGGGCCTATTCTGATTCTAAGGCTTACTGAGGGTCACTTTTTCTGCTGGTAATGGCCACAGAGTAGGACCACAAAGCTGCAAGGAGGATGCTTCCCAGAACAGCAGCACCGAGCCTAGGGAGTGTTCTGAGCCTAGGGAGGGGGTAGTCAGGAAAGAAGAGCCTGGAAAATGATAAAAAGTCCTTTGTACCCCAAGCTCAAGTCTCAGACAGTCTAGTGTACATACCTGAAAGCTGCGATTTAGCCGGATCCCGCTGTAGCTGATGTCTGCTCCCCTTTATGACAAGCACATCATGTTTCTGAAGTTCATGTGTCTTCCCCGGAGTCCTCGGGAGTATGAATCAGACAAAGCCAGGAACCAGTGTCACTCCAGGTGACGTGGTGCAACAGTATCATTAGGATCTAACTGGACACCAGGCTTCTGGGTCCAGCCCCTCTCAGGGGTGGGGGGGAGGAGCTGTCTTAATAAGCTCACTGAGTGCTTCTTATTTATGCTAGACTTTGAGAATCCTTTTCAGACCTTTGCTGTTCAGTGATGACAAGGCTCGAGGGCCAATCAGAAACACAGACTGTCCCACAGACTTCCGAATGGAAGCCTGAACTTCCACCTGATCCCCTGGGGGAACTGTTTACGCATTGCTACGTGACTGTATCATGTCTAGTGAGATATAAGTCTGCACAGAGTTCAAGAGACACCTAGGAGAGAGATGGTTGGAGTGGAAAAGCACATTGTGAAGATGCACTGGCTCAGGGTCTAATAAGACATGTTGGGGTCAGCCAGATGACCTGGGCTAGGAGATGGCCACAGAATCTGAATAGAGAGTCAGTTTTAGCCAGATGTGGATTTTTATTAATAATTTATTATTGGGTGTGGGACCTAAGGACGGATCTATTAAGCTGTATAGATAGAAAACTACATCTAGGTCCTATTCTGATTCTGAGGCTTACTGAGGGCCACTGGAGTTCTGGAGTCAGTTCTGACTTTGACTTTGGAGTGGTGTGTGTGTGTGTGTGTGTGTGTGTGTGCGTGTGTGGAGTATGCACATATGTGCAGGAAATGTCATGTCTTCCTTTTGCTGGTGAAAGTGGAAATCAAGTTTCCTGCCACAGGAATTGTTTGGTTATAACTTTGATGCAGTGGGTATATATTTTGTTCCAAAAATTGCATTTTTAGGAATTTATCTTACAAATTACAGGTTAATAGGAAAGCATTTTGCTGGGGGTGTGTAAATGTTGACTAGTTTTACTTGTAACCCTATACAACCTTATATTCAGACTTAAAAGAAGATAGAAGACCAGAAAAATGAGCAAGTGTACTGTGATTATTCAGTGGTTCCTGTTCAGGTTTCCATTTTGAGATGTCTCTGGTATCTCTGGAAGAAAACCCAATAAAGTGCTAACACTCGTGGAACCTGGGAAAGAGATAAAGACTTATTCATTATTTTGTACTATTTTACTTTGGAATCAGGTATAACTATTATTAAACTACAGTTCTCAAAATGTGTTCAAAAGAGCTCTGTGGGTTCTCAAAAATCAGTGCAAGGGGTCCCAATTACCTTACTGCTCCAATTATTTATCTGTATAAAGTTGGCTTTTCTTCATAAACTTCGACCAGATCTGAAGAAGAGCAGCGAGAAGTCACGTGACTTCTACTATGCCAGGCAAAAATGGAGAACAATGCCATTATGTTCGTTTTGGAAAATATAATTATTGTCACATTTTAATTTTATTTTATTTAAATAACATTTAAAAATTTATTTTGCATACTGACTGCAGTTTCCCCCCCTCCTTTCCTCCTAGTCCCTACTCCTACCCCATTTCTCATCTACACCCCTTACCTTTCACTTCTCTGTCTGCACTGAGAAAGGGACAGGCTTTCCATGGGCTGAGCCAAGCATGGCACATCAGGTTGAGGCAGGACTGCACTCCTCCTCTTATGACGAGGCAAGGTAAGGTAATCCAGCATGCAGAACAGATTCCCAAAAGACAGCTAAATTCCAGGGACAGGTCCTAATCTCACTGCTAGGAGTCCTACAAAGAGACCAGGCTAAAAGACTGTCACACCACATGAAGATGGCCTTGGCCAGTCTGATGGAGACTCCCTAACTGTTGGTCCAGAGTCCATGGGTTCCCATGAGCTCAGGTCAGCAGTCTCTGTGGGCTCCCCAGACTTTTTGTTCAAAAGTAGATTCAATAATCTACCCTTTTATCTTATCATTCCTGTGTCTCTCTTTTCTTTTTTCATAAAGAGATCCTTGAATCCATTCTTCCTTATTTAGTTTCCTAAGTAATAATTGGAAACCAACCACTCTAAACAACGACTAACATCCATAACCCACCATAAGACTAAAAACCATTCACCTCATCTCTTGGAAATGTGGGCATCATGTTCTTAAAATTACCTCCTGTTGTCTGGGGGCAATGGCGTCTTTAGGAGACCCTGGTAAAATTGAGATAATGATCAAGTCCTGGGAGAAGTATCTCTATCATTTATTGTCCAGTCTCTGTGTAATAGGAAAGTGCAGGGCTTATATGAAGTCCTGGCTGGAGCAGCCCGCAAGGCTGGCTTATCTCAACTAGCAACTTTGAAGCTGTTCCGGATGCAGTTTTTGTGGAAACAGCAACAGAGACATTCTGTGAGGCTGGATAACCTGGACTACCTGTGTTTACTGGTATCTGATCCTTTTTTTTCTTTTAAAGGTAACATATCTATCTGCATATCTGTATGAATGTGTGGTATACACAAATAAGCTAACAATGTCTCTGCTCTATGTTTGAGCAGGTAAAATTTATAGGTTGGTTTAATTTAGCAGATTTTTGTATAATTCAATGTCTCTCAGCAGCATTTTCCCTTTGCTCATCAGCATTCGAAAAAATTAAAGTCAACAAAGCATCATACATGATCCAGATGCCCTGTGGATTTCACATCCTTCTGTGGCTTATTCTTTTTATATTACTTTGATCTTTCTTTAAAGACTTCACTTTATTATTTTAAACTATTTTTCTAGGATCATCTATACTCATTTTTTTTTTATTTTTTCAGTACCTAAGCATATTTTCAAACATATTGTACCTGTTTAGAGATTTTCTAGGTCTGGACCTAAATTTTTGCATGTCTGCAGCCTTCTCTGACTGTGTGAGCCAAACTTTAAACTGCTAGGCGGCAGCTAGGTTATCCAACACATGACTCTGCTTAGCATAGGCATGGGCATCAGGCTCTGCCCCTTTTGGTTCCAGCAAGTAGCTGTGCCTCTGTGTTGACAGAAATTTCTGTCCTGGCCAGTGCTGAAGCCATTAAGTCCCAAAGAATCACACAGAGGTCTACGTTAACTTAGCTCAGGCTTCTTATTAATTCTTTCTTACAGCTTATATTAGCCCATTATTCTTGACTATGTTAGCTGCATGGCTTGTGTGTCTGCATGCTCTGTGTCTGGCTTCCTCTGTGTCTGGGTGATGACTGAAGACTGAGCTTTTTTCTCTTCCCAGAATTCTCCTGTTCTTCTTGCCCTGCCTCTACTTCCTGCCTGGTAACCCCACCTATACTTCCTGCCTGGCTATGAGCCAATCAGCATTTATTTAGATTACAAGTGACAGGGTACAGACCACCATCCCATAGCACCTCTGTACGTGGCCATCATGGAGTCCGTTTAAAAGACCATGGCTCCCTTTTCCCCCCTCCTCCCTCTCCTCTCCCCCTCCCTCTACTCCTCTCCTCCTCCCTCTCCAGTCTGAGGGGCAGTCAGGGTTCCCTGCCCTGTGAAAAGTCCAAAGTCCTCCCCGCTCCATCCTGGTCTAGGAAGGTGGACATCCAAACTGGTTAGGCTCCCACAAAGCCAGAACATGAAGTAGGATCAAAACCCAGTGCCATTGTCCTTGGCTTCTCAGCAGCCCTCATTGTCCGCCATATTCAGAGACCGGTTTTATCCCATGGTTTTTCAGTCGTAGTCCAGCTGGCCTTGGTGAGCTCACAATAGATCAGCCCCACTGTCTCCGTGGGTGGGTGCACCCCTCGTGGTCCCGACTTCTTTGCTCATATTTTCCCTCCTTCTGCTCCTCCTTGGGACATTGGGAGCTCAGTCTGGTGCTCCAGTGTGGGTCTCTGTCTCTATCTCCATCCATCTTTTTTTTTAAAATATTTATTTATTTATTATGTATACAATATTCTGTCTGTGTGTATGCCTGACAGCCAGAAGAGGGTGCCAGACCTCTTTACAGATGGTTGTGAGCCACCATGTGGTTGCTGGGAATTGAACTCAGGGGGGAAAAGGGAGACGGGGAGGGAAATGGGAGGCGGGGAGGAGGCGGAAATCTTTTTTTTTTTCAATAAAAAATTATATTTAAAAAATATATATGCCAGGGATATGGTATGATTTCAATTATTTTTCTTAAATGTTCTTTTAATTTACACAAATAAATATAATCTCATTTGTATCCAAAAAAAAAACCAAAAAAAAAAAAACAAACCAAACCCAAACAAAACAAACAAAAAAAAAAAGACCATGGCACCAGGAGGCTGTATCCTCTGTGTTCAGAACTTTCCCCCAACTTTCTCAGGTCCTATGTGGATTTACATGCACCACATTGGACACCATTCATAGTCTGACTTTTCTTTGTTCTACCAGCTCACAAATAACAACACAAAGACTTATTATTAATTATGAAAGCTTGCCTGAACTTAGACTTTTTCTCAGTTAGCTCTTATAACTTAAATTAACCCATATTTTAAAATCCTGTTCTGTCACATGGCTCAGTTACCTCTCCTCTACAGAGGACATATATCCAACTCCTTCAGTGACTCACTGGTGTCTCTTGTGTGCCTAGATTCATCCCAAGTTTCTCTCTCTTCTTGGAAGTCCAACCTATTCTCTCCTGCCTAGCTATTGCCCTTCAGCTTTTTATTAAATTAATCACAGTGATTCATCTTCACACAGTGTAAACAAATATTCTGCAACAAACCATCTCTTTTGTGTCCCTCTTTTTATTATACTAATTCCCATGATTTGTTCCTTCCTGCATCCAGGAGCTTTCAGGTACATGTCTTTTATGTGTTCTGTACAGGGTCCCAGAATCTTTATAGAGGCTTTGGTTGGAGAAGTGTTTCTCAAGTTAGGTAGTTCTGAGATTGCTGGGACATTCTTGCTCTGGGTATTTCCTTCTTGAGCAGTGGAAAAGGGACAAAGAGAACAAGTCTTTCATTCAGGGGCCTAAGGTGGGAGAGCTGCTAGAATAGCTCACTGAGATTCTGACCACTGAAATAATGATCATAGATTGTAGGGGAGATAGAGTCAGTGGACAGTCCTCTTGTGATACAAAGATGAG